CTTTAATAAGCAGGTAAACAAAGTTAATTCAGTTATTAATTAACTCAATACTCTTTAAATTTCTTCATTGTCTTGGTAAAAACATATTTATTTTAGGTTCCAGACAAATTCCTGCTCATTCGCCTGGTCTTTGAGTGCTGTGATCTGAATATTTTGCAGCATGTTCACTAGGCAATCTTCGAGAAGCAACTCAAGTGAAGTTGTATTACAAGATGTGGATGGTGTGATGCAGTTATGGACTCTTGTTCATTATTGTTATACTAGCCGTGAGTGAAATTGTATGCTCTTTCCAGTCTGCGGTTTTCTTTGTGAATACCTAAAATCATATTATTTAACATAATGAATGTAAACTATGGGACACTTGAATTTATTCCTTCCTGGAGATTTTAGTTTCTTTCTAAATAAAATAGCACCAATTTACCCCTTGATGATATTTGTCCAATTTGTTTTGCTCCAGTGAAATAATCATGAATAAAATGTGTTGTAAGCACTAGACTATTTATCTCTTTTATATGGATTCTATACTTCTATGTACCTCTTCTTTAAATATTTCAAGGAAGCTGAATTACAATTTCAATTCCATGCTGGGTTTTTGCAGGCGCTACAAGCATTGAAAAATATGATCTTCGCACTAATTCTTGGAGTAATGTGGCAAATATGAGTGCTCGGCGCCTACAGTTTGGTGTGGCTGTTATGGATGAGAAGCTATGTGTTGTTGGAGGAAGAGATGGATTGAAAACGCTCAACACAGTTGAATGTTACGATTTAAAAGCAAGAACCTGGAGCAATTTACCTCCAATGTCCACTCATCGACATGGTCTAGGTGCGTAATTTTTGTTTTCTTGTAGTTATTGTTATCTTACAAATTTTATTGCAAAATTAGATATTAAACCCTGCTCAGTTGTACTTACAGTGGTATCAAACCATTGTGTGAGTAGAATTTCTAGCACCTAAAAATTTATTTAATTATTTACATTCTAATAACATATTTAAATTAATACTAATATTAATCCTTTTAATGTCTTCTCTAAATTCATAATATGATAAACAATCATAAATATGCATTAAGGTGATTCATTTTGGATGGTCAATTCCAGACCACGAAAAGTAAAGATACTGTAATATGCCAGTAATGACTATCTATAAATATTTACACCTACCTGAACTTTTTTCTATAAATATTTACAAAATTGATTTTCCCTGATCTGCTCATAGATTTACTTTATGATAAAATATTTATTAGGTTGATTTGATTACCATTTTGATTGTGGGTATCGACATAAAACATGCTAAATCTTACCTTGCTGTATATGGACATGCTGTCTGTACAGACCCGTGATTTCTGGAAGTTGGGGCATTGAAGACTTCACGGTTGAATTCCGGTTGAAATGTCCATGTCTTCTTTCTTAATTTCACCTAATTGATGTGAATGCTATTGCCCTGTCTACTGTAATATTTCATAATGTCAAATTATAATAAAAATGTTGCCTGTGATATAACAGTGATTCTGTTAGTTCATTCCCAGTTCATTGAATAATTATTCTAATTTATTATGCATTCGTGAAAATTCCTTATGTTATACCATGCGAGGGTAGCTATTCATGACTTCCTAATGTTCAAAAGAATTTTTTTCTGTAAGAGACATCTACAATTCTTCCCTATTCTAATTTCGTTCCTGAACATAAATACATTCTGAATGCCAAGTAATAGTTAAAATAATTTTAACTTTCTTTAAGTTCCTTCTATTAGGACTCTGAAAAATATTTAATACAATTACATACTAGCACACTCCCTCCTACATTCATTGCTTTGTCTGAAATATTAATACAATCCCAATAGTATGCATCGCATCTAAAGGTAGTCACAACGTACCAAGCTGATGGGTTTCAGTCTTTTACCTGATTATACTTCCCCCAACATATATTGTTTTTGCCATGTCACCATGTTTGTTCGTCCACTTGAGGCTTGTTTATGGTTTATGGTTGTTTGAACAGTGGTGAAGTTGAAGTAAAAGGAAGGTTAATATATTGTTCCTTGTAAATTATCTTGTTGTTCCTAATATTCTCATTTTAATGATAAATAGAGTAAGGGCATTTGACTTCATATCGCATGAACCTGAATGCGGCTGGCCTCCACATGCCCGATGTTCGGTGTGAAAGTTAATTTAATGCAACTGTATTTATGTATAGCCCATTGTGAAATTTTGCTCAATTATACAATAAAAGGTAGGTAATTTAGTAATATCTCTTAAATTTTAAAATTATTTTGCAAACCTACAAAAAGAAAGTTAAAAAGTTAATCTTAGTTGAATTCCTAAGTTTCTTTAATAAAGGAGACACGAGCATTTACATATGTCAGTGCGTGTGCTACTTCATAATTTTGAATGTCGAATTACTTTGAGTTTATAGCACTTATGGGAAAAAAACAGTTAAAAAAACAAACAAAAAACATCAAGGTCAACTTTTCATCAAATTCATTCGATTTGACATAGAATGACCCAGCTTGGTTGCACTACACATGAGTGCTTCCTAAGGTTAAATTATTTGAAAAACATTGAGAAATTTTATAATAGATATTATTATAAGATAATAAATAGATATCAATTCCACACAAGTTAACTTGCTATATATGATTTTTCTTTATAAATTGCACCCATTATTTTGGCAAAATAATGTTGCAGAATAGAATTTGGTTTTCCACATAATGCAGGGAACAACATCAATTGATTTATTTGAATTCTTTATTGAATAGATAGATTTATTTAAGTTTGCTTTGAGCTAATGCTCAGTGGCAAACATGATTACAATTGGAATTAGAACACTTACAAAACTATTTTAAAGATTAACAATTATAATTAAAGGTTGATATTCTAGTTCTAATAAGTTTCTAGTTATCTCTAAATTGACTTCTAATTTATCTAACACTTCACTACACTAACAACAACAACAAACACAACAACAACAATAATCATTTCTTCTTTAATTTTCCAATCACCTCCTTCATATATAATGCTGCTCTAACTTAGGTAGTCACCTATAAGATTCTTCAGGTAGACTGGGATATCCAGTCTTTCTAATGTCTTTTGTACATCTTTCCATCCCATGGAGTTGAATGCGTTCCGAATATCTATTGCTATCAGGACGCAAAAGCCTTTCTTCCTGCCACTACTTTCTCTTGCCATTCTTGC